TGTCGTGTGTTTGGAATACACAGACTTTCAGTTCCTATTGAATCGTCAAATTTTTGTTATAACACTGGGATTTATCGTTGGAAATTCTACCAGCTCAGTCGACTCTAAAATTTCTGTGTTATTTATATCCTAGGTTGCTCCATTCCTTCGATCGTGTTAACTTCAACGAAAAATCGAGGCGACCGCGTAGAGCCAAAAACTGGCCGCTCAGGGGCCTGATAAAAAGCATTTGTCCCGCAGCTGACACAGCACATGTCAGACCGTCAATCATCGCTAGACACCGACACTCCATTCAGACAAAAAGAACCGCCCATTGGCCTGCGCGTAGGCCTGCGGCGATAATGATGCCATCGGTAAAAGGGGCAAGTCATCGATCGAGTCCTCTGTTATTTTCCCGTCATTCACCATTGTCCTCGCACTTTGATCGAATAAAAAAAAAAAAGACGAGAAGCTGGAACCGTAGGAATACAATGATTTCTGGTGACTTGAGATAGAGAGATGATCGATGCATTTCCACGGGATAATTCGTTCTTTGGCAGCGGTGAATAGACGTGAACGTGGATGAAAATGCGACGAAATGATGGAATGGTCGTGGAACAAAGCAATCCGAAAGATGTCCGCGTGCAATATTGGCACCTGTTGTCCCGCGAAATAACCGAACGCCATTCACGAAGATGTCCTCTCTCTCTCTCTCTGTACGTTGAACAATCGCGGTTTCGATTCGATTGTCCGTCAACCTTATTTACCATCGACCAGGATCTCTTCCCCCAACGCTAGCGTTTTCATTTAATAAATGGCTAGTTGCTTATCCATTTCGAAATTGCTCGCTGGAGTGCAACGAGAACCGCCACGCAAAGTGTCTTCAAATTGAATGGCCAAGCTTCGTCGATATAAGACGCGAACGAGGAAAAAGAGAAGAGATTTGCATAAACGTCCATGGGAGAAATTGGTTCCCGTTGAAAAGTTGTGTCAGGAATGAGTATAGTTAACGTGCTAATTTAATCGAAAAAGAAAAACAAGCGAGTACACCGAGTAAGCGTTTCCGCAGGAATAAATTTTGCGTTTAACTCGATGGAATTTAATTACCGGAAACTGTCGACCCATTTTGACGAAACTTGCCGAGAACTTATTGTTTCCCAGCTGCAAGGGTACGCTTTTGCGTAAACGTGCGACCTCAAAGAGCTACGGAATAGGCAAAGAGAGGAAAAAGGCTTTCGATGGTGACCAAAAGCGTTACAGAAATTCACAGTGGTGCGAGCGTTTTTTAACCCTCCGTCCTTCTCTATCTAGCATGCTATTTTCGCATTCAAACGTACACGCGGCCTAAACTTTAATTACGAAACGCGGAACTGGGTTAATCACTCGCAATTCAGAGGATTTTAGGACCGGTAACCCGCGTACACGCGATGGCCCGAGGGGGAGGAGGAGAAGGAGGGGCACATTTTTCTCGCTGTCAGGCTGGAAACGTTCGAAACGACAGCTGTTCGTTTTAACGATCGACAAACGGGACAAAACCCGGAATTACTATATCCCTCCCCCCGTCTGAAGATTGAAATTTACGGATACTCGTTGGGTGAAAAGTGCCAACCCTATAGCGCCTTCGACAAATTGATACGAATGGAAATGCTACCGTGGCCGAATAACTCCTCGGCGGTTGGGAACTGTGCTTGAAAAGCACGGTAGACCGGTGTATTTTCCACCGTTTTCATTATTTATCGGCGGAATTTACGGCCGAAACGAAACTTCTGGACGGCGTGGACCGTGTGTTTAGCCATTCCCTGGATTTACCGGTGTCTCCATTTAAACTTTATGATAAACACTCGCGTGATATTTCAACCTGGTGGAAGAGTGTCCAAGTGCAACGTGGTTTCACGCGAAATTAAATCGTCGCCGGTGAGAATCGAGAGAGTGTACGGACTAGTTTTTATTCACGTTCATTTGGTCAAGTTAGGAAATTCGCGGGGAAATTTAGGGATACGGTAAATTCTCGTTTAAAGTTTGCACATTAATGGAGCTGAGTGACTAACCTGTGGGTGTGCACGGTGTTCTTGCCGCCTCTACGAGGTCCTCGCGACTTCCGGGCGGTGCTTCCAGCATCGTGCCGCTGCCGGAGAATTTCTTCACACATAGCAGGCTCAACGCTGAAACAAAGCAACGAAATTACGTATTTACATGTGATAACCAACAGAATGAAATTGCATGGAATCCACGGGAACATATTTCGATAATAATTTCTCTATGGACGAAGGCAATCGAGACTTCAAAGTTCACCCTTTACTTTTTTAAAGAGTAAGACAATTAAGTTACGAATAATAAAGACGCAAAACGTCTGAATTCATTTTTCATCGAGTATTATTGCAATTAAACTCGAAAGCTCGACTGTACGCAAATCGAATTTCTCTGAATCGAGCAGGAGATACGTTCATTAGCGGGGTTATTTAGTCAGAGTGAAATAAATCGATTTATCTCGAAAAGTGATTCGTTAACTAGCCAGAAATGAATCCATTAGTTCAGTGTGTGACGAGCTCTTCGTGGAAATTATAATAACCGAATTCCACTCGGGCCAATAAGTTACGCTTTTCTTCGACCCGCCTCGTTATTTCCACATTATTACCGGCGAATTGAATCTTCCCGGGTTACGATAGCGTTCACCAACTGCTACGAAACTTTTCCCCTTCGTAATAATCCGGTTTTCACAATAATCCACCTGGCTGGAAGGTAATTATCGAAGAAGCTCAGCCGGATTCACGAAAGGGAATTCTTGATTGGATCATCTTCCACGACCGTTGCATAATTAAGATATCACCGTGAAGGATTTTTCGACGGTGCAACTATCGTTAATTTACAACACTTCTCGGCAATTTCCAACATTCAGATTTACACACTTGTAGAAATTCTTCGACTCTGGCGAAAGTTCAACAACTTCGGATAACAACCCGCACCTTATCAAGCCGAGACGTACCGTCTGACCAAACACCGACCTGTTCTACTTACGATTCAATTTCTTGGCGTTGCACGTGGAATACTAAATCCCTTCGATTAAAATCGCCCTTCTCCAAGTAGATTCTCGCCACGAACTCGTAGACGAAGGATTAGAGAAATGGTAGAAGGCACTTTTACACGATTTCCGTGTGAATTAATAATTGGAAAGTTGTCTTCGAGGAGAAATCAACGAGGGTCAATTTTACACATGTAATTGTAGCAGCAACATTTCTTTTTCACTATCATACTGACATAATTGCTGACCAATTACCATTAACAATTAACGTTTCAATATTATTCCCTGTAATTTTCGTTGCTGATAGAGGAAGTACCGAAAGGGTCCAGTAAAAACTGTCCCATTATTCGCGAAACATTTCCCAGTATCCGTATTCTTCCATTCCCCGCAATTTACCACGAGGCCAGGCAAAAAGGGAGCACTCGTCGCGGCTAGATCTCGTCAGTGGGCCGTGTTGTCCGCGCAAGACTCGCGTGCACTGTGTCGGGACGCGTTTTAATTAAATTTTCACGACCACAGCGTCGCCAGGAATGTTTCGTTGCACGTAATAACACGTTTGCGCGAGTATATACGGGCACAATGGCACCACGTTCACGGCCGTACGTACAAATAAGAGACTAACTGGTATTGGAAGCGTTACGCGAACCGGATAATACCGTTTCACCTTTGTGCTCGGTTTGCAAGCCAGAAAGAGAGTATTAACAACGCCGGTGCGACGCGAACGCCGAGAGAACGCCTTGCATGATTAATTTCGCGTACGTATCCGAAACATCAGGCGCCTGGAAGCTGTTCCAGAAGCTTCGTTTTCTTTTCACCCTGTCACTGAAATTCTTCACCGGCATTATGGATGAAAATCCTGTTTCGTCTTTCGCGGGGGAAGTTTCTGATTAATTAAACGAAATTTCTATGGCTAGAGTTTGCTTTATCAAATTTTTATTACGTCGATTTTGCTGTCGATTAATTACGACAGATCCGTAGCCATTGTTAACTAGTTAACCACTTCCTCGAAGAAGCTTTTCTCCATCGTTCAGCCTTGTTTCATCCTTCCTCGACGATGAACCATCACCTCAGGACACTCCCGAGGCGAGGCACGCGGAACGGCGCAGCTTCCATTACGCCATTCTTCCATCGTGGAAGGAAAAAGTCCCCTTTTATCCCTTCAATCATCGCTAGTGGCTGGCTACCATAAATAGAACGTCTCACCAGTATATTCCAGCGTTCGTTTACTTCATCGAGACACAATCGACGCTTGCCTATTACTCTATTTCTTCGTCGAACTAGAGAAGAATTCTTCTATTCGCCGAAAATGAGTCTGCCACGGAGAAATTTCGAGAGTTAGAATTAATTCAATATCCCTCTTCATTTTTCTCCTCGTCTATCTCTTCAAATGTTATTTGAACGTTAACAATTGCTCGGAGATCGATACCAATTCTCCCCGTTCATTTTATTTCCCGTTGTGATGAATTTCTTCGCTTTCACAGCCGAGAGAATGAGCGCTGGGAGGCGGACAGCGAACTTTTGCACAGGAGGCCAAAGGTGTGTGTTCCAGCTTCCTGGCGGTTCAATTTTCATCCTTTGACGATTGCCGAAAGCAAGGAAGCATCGAGCATCGTGAATCGGTGGCGGCTACGACCACCGAATCGTCGTCTTTGTCTCGTTCTATTTTCCAATGGTCCCTCCTCATCGGTTCCTTCTCGATTCCTTTCCTCCTCCCCTCTCTCACCCCTGCTTTCCCAGGATCCTTTTGTGTCGACCAGATCGAGCAGACCGCTTTTTCCAATACGCCGGCGACGCCAGCCACGCTCTAATCTTCTTCGAGCGTTCGCTCTGTCGCCCTTCTGTCGGCGAGTTTGCGGATACTTTGAAAGCAAATTCGCGGGCCGCAATTCCGGATAAAATTGCGCCTTTCAACGACGGTTCACGGAAGAATTCCGAATTGTATTTCAGCCGCGTGCATTGTTGCGGAACTCGGCTTCTTTCTTCGCGCGTCTCTGGTATTCGTCGAAATTGAATCGCAAAGGAGAGAAAAATGCTTCTTCTCCCTTTGCCAATCATTCCCAAGTTTCTCTTCCTTCCCGGCGGTGTTGCGGTAATTCCTCGGGTTAGGCTAACTGTTGACGTTTTCCGAACTTCCATTAGGCGAAACAGACTCTAGCCTCTGACAAAATTAGCACAAGAGTAAAGTTACAGAAATTCAACGCTATTGAAATTCTTCTATAATTGAAACAATTTCCTGCGGATTTTCATCTTCGATTTAAAATTCTACCAGAACCCAAACTTCTCGGAATATCATTTCAGACGAGAAGGAAGTCACTTAAAATTCGTTTTCCAATTTACGGTGTCCACGGAAATGGTCCAACGAGAGCAAAGCAGGGTGAAACAGAGTGTATCGTATTATTTTGGAAATCTATTGCGAGCGAAGCCGCGGTTCAAATGGAAGCCCGAACATATCGGTTAGCCAGGAATCCCACGGTGCAACTCACAACGCAAATTATTCACATTCTGCTCAGCAAACGGATTCCACGTACTATTCTACCCGTTTCCGACATCCTCGCGGTAATATTTCACGAATTATTGACAAACTGCCACGTATTCCTTTCATTCTCTTCAACATCTGTTACAGAAACAACCTCAACATTCAATTTCACTTTCTTTCTTTCCTTTGCGAAAAAGCTTGTTCGTCAAATGTTATCCTTCAGAGCCAACTATGTTTTTCTTTCTTTACTCGTCATCCACGAGGTTCCTCTGTTAAGATACGTGAGGCGAAATCCAACGATACACGGAGCGAACGTTGGGAAAGGGGGGAATTCCAGCCTCCACAGAGTAGCAGGGGAATTTTATTTATCCGAATGCCGCGGTCGTTTATCTCCAGTCTCCCGAGCTTCCACGACCGATAGCCTCTGGCCAACTTTCGTCCCAGAATCCAATTCTTTTTTTTTTACCCAGACTGGTGCCACGTCTGGCTAATGTACCGTCTCAGATGTATCTCCGGAGATTCCCAACATTTCGCCTTGTTACTCGGAGCGTTCAGTGGCAAAGGAACGATTACAGTGTTCCATAAGTTACGATAAATTAGGTTAAAATATTGGAGGATTCATGGAAAACATTTCGTTATCGAAACCAGCCTATTTCTTCGAATACGAAACTGATAAATTACCATACCTGAGAGTTACCATAATTGGAACATGCACTGTTCAATAATTGAGGATGAATTTTTGAAATTCACTTTAATCTGTATTATTTTCAACAGCCCTACGTATACTCAATGCAGAAGTCGAACGAAAGTGAAACGAATCGACAATTTTTATCTAAGCACGACTGACTATAAAATTGAAATATCTCAGAGTGAAAAATACAGTTTCTCACGGGATACACTACGACGTCGTCGTTTTTCAAAGTGTATCCCGACCTGCTCTGCTTACGAATAGCGTAACTTCCTTACTTCAACGAATTTTCCGGGAGTATTCTATGAAGATCGTAAAAGTTGATTCTCAGCCTAATTTAAGTGCACACAGCTGGGTAAGGGGGTTTTTTGTTTAATGGATATTTAAGGAGGAAGCTCACCCCGCTTCACGTCCCGCCACGTGTTCGTGATTTCGTCGAGTCTTCCTTGCCCGTTTGGTGTTCACCCATATATTCCTCTCACATCGTTCTGACGACCAACGTTCTGCGAGCCTGAAACATGATGGAACAATATTATTAAGAGATTTATTCAGTGTTCCCAGCGGTTACGTCCCGACGTTATCCATTATAATAATACGGTGTGTTACACGCACTGAATGTGATATACTAGCATCATGTATCATCATGTTTCCAGGAATACGGTTAATATCGCAATCACGACACAGAACTCTAATTTCGATTTCAATGTATACAATGTATTCGTTTAATGAATATTTGACAGGAAGAGAGTGTCGTTAATAATCCCCAATTATTTATAGTGCACGCGTTGTTCCATTGGTTCACCTATGTAAGCGAACTCATGCTCCATTTCCAAAAACTCATTCTACCATTTCCCGGATACCCTGTTCCATTCTATTCCTAGAATTCGACTTCTTCTCCTCTCGCTCTGCTCCCAAACCTAAAACACCCACTTCGA